ACTCCATCTTGATACAAAAAAATGTGGAAATCTTCCAAAGAAAGGAAGGAAGTAATCAACTTGAAAATAAGTAACTCTATACATGGATGTGTAGATCATGCAAAGAAGTAACTTTCAGACACAAACTGGGAGAAAGCCCTGAAACAACTAATTTCATATAAACATTGAATTATACAGAAGATAATTTTCTCTAATAAGTTTGGAATACTAACTGAGTAAGTAGTTTGTGTTATATAGTTCATATAAATAAGTAAGTCGTTTGCAGCACATATATTTTTCTGAGTTGGCTACCCTGTGTATTTGTCATTAATGTTAGGTGTCATACGAAGTTGATGTTTATATTATCAATTTATGGGTTCAATTTGCAATTTCAATTGTATTTTTTTCCAATTAGTATTCTCAATATTTGGTGGAAGTAACGATGCAATTACTATGACAACTGACATTGATTACAAATTACCGTCTATTTGACTATAGGGAATTCAAAACAAGCGATACTCTCCCTGGTGTCCATGTTGTGAACTAGAGACAAATACATTGTTTATCTTAGTAATCATTAAGGAGTGTTAATTTTTGTCACTTTTCCTCTATTTGAATATGTAGGATTCATATTCAAGTTGAAACTATCAATACTATATGTCCCGCAATGTGACTCGTTTGCAAAAAGATCTTGATACTGTGACATCAATTTTCATTAAGATAAGTAATTTTGATATAATAGGACCAAATTCAGAAATCATGACCAAGTATGAAATTATAATATAAATCAACGTAAACATCAAAAACCAACTTCCATTCTGTGCATTTAGAAACTTGCGTTTCTAACAACTTAACCATGGCACACAGCCCCCTACGGCTATGAGGAATAAACAACTTTCAAAAATTCAAACTACTTTCAAAAAGTCGGGAGAACTTGTATCATTCCGCGAAAGAGTAATGGCACCTTTGAAAATCCACATGCTACGAAAAAAATATTAACTCAACACCAAGATGGAATGTTGGTAAAGAACATACCGAAAAGTATTTACACGAACTACATAAACATAAATCAAACTATTCCTAAATAGAGGTTCAAAACAAAATTGGTTTGTTGGGAATCACACGTTAAAAGGCAGGACCTCGTTAGTTCCTGGCAAGCAAAATTTCGACTCTTTACAAAAGAAAACAGATTTATAATTGTACGTATATCCTAGATCCAATGTAGACATCTGTGTTTTGCACTTTCGCAGTGGCATCTAATTTTGAATTTCTTATTTCTAAGCTGTTGGCAATACTATAATTGACATAATAATTTGGGATCCTGGCAACACTGATTGAAAGTCTGAAATAAAGGTTATAAAAATAATAATAAAAATCGTGAACCAAGATTGAACATTGATCTTTGAAATTCGATGTGCCAAATTTGAATTAAATATGAATTGTTTGTTAATATTTGATCATTTGAATGATGTCGTTCATATGAAATATAATGAGGAATTTCTAAATCATATGAATGATTTTAGTCTTGAACAAGAGTTCATCAGTTTGGTAGGTAATGAAATAGCTTTCTGAGCTTAAACACCCTTTACACCTGTGTTCTTAAAGATAATGAAAGAATCAAGGCTTCTTAATTTTATGGCAACACAAAGACTACAAGTCTTTTGTGTCTTATAAGTTATTTACCTAATTGGGTCACAGATTATATGGAAAAGTCCTCCAGCCTGGAGCAATTAATTCACTGAATTCAACGACTACTAGTCAATTGTGAAATGAATTGATCACATATGATTTTAAGTTGTTCTCTGTTCCCCAATATGAAGCAGTTAAATCTACTGATATTAACAACAAATTACCTGAATGTCATTTTAGACCAGTGCAGAAGCCTGTTGATTAAAATTTAAAGAATTAATAACAAAATGTATTAGAAGAAAGAGAAAAATATTATGTTTCATTCATGAAAAAAAACAAGTGATTCAAGATATGGTCAATCTACAACATTTCATAAACCTGAAATTTTCGGAGAAAAAGTTGGAGAAACTCACCTTTTAGCTTTCTTAATATTCTGTGATTTTTTTAAATCAAAATATCTTATTTTGATATTAAACTTGAAAAATTCATGTATATGCCTTTTGTTTTAGCTCAAATTAATTTCAACTAATTTCATCATTTAATTTGATATCCTAGAACCTACATTGCCTATCAGGTTTGATTTCTTTCATTCTGTCATAAGCTTGTTTGTCTGTACTTGTGATGCAATGTTTGGAACCTTTGTTGTAGTAATGAATATTACTGGAGTTTTCTCCCAAAACCAAACCGTTATTCTAACACCTCGACGCGTGTTTCGATCACCAAGTGATCGTCTTCAAGAGGGTGATCAAGTTTGATCACGTGTAGAGGTGTTAAAATAACGGTTTGGTGTTGGGAAAAAACTCCAGTAATATTGTTTGTCTGAGCCTATTAAAATTAGATACATGGTATCATTTCAATAATAAGTTGTTTGTATTTATTTGAGAGCACACATTTAGCTACAACTGAAGTAATACATACTTTGGAATCCTCCTTGTTTTGCCTCCTTCATATTCACTTGGCTACATGTCTCATATGTAGGTATATGGCATACTTCTAGCATTCCATTTTACTTTTATTTAATATTTTTTCTGTCACTCTCATATCATTTTATTATTTCTAATGGTTATCCTAGAGTTTTTTCCTACATTTCAAAGAAATTGATATTCTGTTTAAAAAATTAGGAATTCAAAATATGAAAGATTATTTTATACACCATCTTCTATCTCTGATCATCACATCTCTTTTTTTTTTTCATTTGATCCATGAATAGTTGGCAATAACTCAAAATTCGTGAAATAAATCGAGTGTCCCAAAAACAATAAATGTTAGGATTTGCAAGATTTTCATTTGCAATTAATATGGTTTCATCACCTTTAAGATTCTAATAAGGCCTTTTTGTAGTAAATGAGGCACTGAAAGTTTATTCTATTATATACTCTAATGTTTATATACCCCATGCAATCATGAGTGAGAGATACCTACCTAGGTACTTCTTCGATCATGATTACCTAAAGCCTCTACTCAACTTTTATATACCTAAGGTTCCTCCTCAAATTATGATTACCTAGGGCAGATTATATCAATTCTACATCAATAATACAATGTCGATTTCTAAAAAAACTAGTTCAGTAATGGTGATATATTTAAATCCAATTGGTCATTCAATAAAATATTTGTTTTTTAAGTTTTTTAACTTCCATTGATTCCAAATAATTCAGCTTTGAACTTTTATTTACTATGTGTAAAATTTCAAAATCTTCGTTAAAGATATGATTTTCTTTTTTGTGAAGGTCAAATCGTTAGTTGTAGTTTATGAAATTACTATGGATCTTCATCAAGTAACGGCCGAATCAATCAGAAAATCAAAAGATATAATTAGAAAAATCATGATTTCCTAAAATTAATGTTTGTTTTAAGGGATCCCGAATGTCTCAATTAGACGATAATATAATAATGCAATGTTTTTCACCAATAATAACATCTCACCGAATTATGAACTGTCAATTTGGAAATTCCTATAATTATGTTAAATGTGAAGGCAACTTGGTGATATATTTTGAAGAGGTAGGTAATGATGTGTATAAATGTGAACTGTTTCAATTTCAACCATTAATTCTTGCAGTATATGGGGTACTTATTCGTGGCAATAAGTGATAAAAAAGAAGAATACATGAAAAAATTCACAAACTTATGTGTTACGGTGGTGCGCTACTTGTGTGGTCCAGATGTCTACCAGTAAGTCCTAGTATTGAAGTAAATCATTGAAATACAGAGTGTTGATATTGATAAAGTCCATTGTAGTACAAATTCATACAATGGTGAAGAAAAGATACATTTTTTTATTTATTCATAAATGACCTTCATGCCTAACTCAAAAAATATGAGAGGAAAGTAAATATATTACAAATTGTCAAAAAAATCAAATTATCAAACAACTCCTGGTTTAAACCATCTTTGAAGAATTTCTTTTGCAGATTGAAAGTGGATACAAAAAAATCGACTTTAATGGATAAACTTATTGATGGATGGATGAATTTGGATTCGAATGATCAAGCAATACACGTAGAGGCTGTAGAGCAATTGACTGTGAATCCTGATTTGACTTCAACAACAATTCAGATACTGAGAGAATCTGTGGATCATCTAATTAGTCAAATTGAATGTAAAAAAATTCATGCTTTAGTGTTGGTACAAAATAAGTTTTTGTCATTATATTCCAGGTATTATAAATGTAGTACTTTTAAGGATGAACCGCTTGAAAAAATCCCTCTACAAAACTGTGGGTATGGAATAACGATAAAACGTGATTGATGGTACAAGTAAAATATTACCACTTATTTGAATATTTTTCTTCTTAATAGAGGCTGATCGAAATTGAGAGGCAGCTAGTAGCAATTTTTACATTCATCAATATTAAATAAATAAATCACAATTGATCACATTCTTGATTTTTTGAGTGAAGTACATTTTATCTAAAGAAAAGGTCCTGTATGTGTTATTTTTTCTTGCAAAACACATTTCATTTATGAAAGTAAGTAACAAGTTCAAAAACAAGTTATATGGGGAATGAATGTAAGATTAGTGTCAACTCTTATTATCCATATCAACATATACCTACAAAACTCGTTAATGTCTTCTCAGTCGATGCTCAAATACATTGATGCTTTCTTATGCATTTTCTCAAATACTTTTCAACAATTTTGCATTTGCAAAATGGTTCACATCAATTCAATTCCATAACAAATGTTTGAAGAACAAACTGAATGGAAAAAGTATTTTTGTATAATTGATGTTCATAAAAAGTATTGTTTGTTTCGTGTAATTCAATGTTTATATGAAATTAGTTGCTTCAAGACGGCTTTTTCTTCAAGTTTCTGTCTGAAAGTTACTTCTTTGCATGAACTACACATTTAGTTTATTTTGAAATTGAATACGTTCTTCCTTTCATTGAAAAATTACCACTTTTTAAAAGGGAGAAGTATTAAGTCAAAACTTCTCTTTCCCAAAAATTAATGTCTCCTAAAAATATACCCCTTTCAATTTCTTCATTTCCTTCTGAATTATTCTGTATACCGTCTCTACTCAAAAGATCTACAATAGACTAATCACTTTATTTTTAATTTTGGAGAATATGCTTTGACATCATATTTCATCACATCACATTTCTTTTACAAAAAAAATTGTCATATATTCCAAATGTCATAAATACGCCATTTTCAAGAAAAAAATTGCTTTTAGGAATTTTCATTAAAATAAATATACTCAATTCTTAAAGGTGCTTCTCAAATAACAACAACAGTAACTCCAATAATTCAGATCAGCTGGTATAGGCATTTCTTCAAGTGGTGTGCCCTTTGTTCATAATAATTCAAGGGTTTTATGATTACCTTTTATTTCAGTCCGACTGCCAAAGAATTGTCTTCTACTGATATAGTTTTCCTAACAATATTGTCTCACAGTACTCTTCCAGAGAAGACTGAAAGTGAAACCATTTCAGACAATATTTCAAGCCACCAGATCCTTCTTGCTGGTCCTGAAGGAAATCCAAAGTGTTTGCCTCATGTAGTACACATTACCCCACTTTCAAATGGAATAAATCTCCTTTATTTGCTTGAGATTGGTAACCCAGCCGTTGCAGCTAGTCTCTATGAAACTTTTTGTCATCTTCATATCATGCAACAAGTTCAAATTCAACGAGATAAAGAAATACTTCAGCCTGCATTCGAGAACCTAGACTTGGCTAACCGGAAGCTGAATGACAGTTTAAAAAAGAATAAAAATAGTGCAATAGAACTGTCACACAAACAATTAGTCAAGAAGTGGGAGGTCATAAAAAAAAAGTACCAAGAATATTTGAAAAGCACATCTGAAGAGGCTTTGTTAAGAGCTGAAACTCTGGGTTTGGGCTTCTTGGAGAATTTAAAAGAGTTACTTGGATTGACCTCAGTTGATGACAGTGTATTGATTTCTAGTACAAAGTATATAAAGCAGGTAGCAACTTCAGTTGGACACAAATTAGATATGTTCGAGGATTTCTTTAAAGCCAAGGGCATGAAGAACTTTTCCTTTGGATCATATCCTTTAATAATGTCTCATAATATATGTGATGGAATCGGCCGATTCTTAATGAAAATCCATAACTTATTCAAAAAGCACTTTATTGTGAAATTTTCACTAGACAGTTTTACAAAAACGCAACACGTATTTCGTTATGCAATAACTTGTTATAGCATACAGACACGTCCAAAGAAGCTATTGTATAGCAAAACGCGTGTTGCGTTTTTGTAAAACTGTTTAGTGAAAATCTCACAATAAAGTGTTTCTTGAATATATAAATGTCTCATAACCTTATTAAATTTTCATTTGAAATATTGCCGAATTATGATTTACTAATTTATGGATAATCCAAGTTTGAATGTCTTGAATAAAAACATCGGCAAACAGCAAATATTCAAACACAGCTAAAATCATGTATAAAGACATTAGGGGTCTATCTATATTCTAGATGACAAATTAAACTTCGACGAGCACATTGAGCATCTTGCAAAAAAACTTGCTAGCTAATGTTATGCAATTAGAGTTTTAAGAAGTAACTTGAATCCAGCTGCACTAAAAACAGAATATTATGGTACTATCATCCTTTGCTTAAATACGGAGTTATATTCTGGGGTGGAAGTACTCACTTGGATCGCATTTTCATTATGCAAAAACGTATAATAAATACTATGCTACAATGAACAGACTCTTGTAGTAATATTTTCAAAAGTAATAAATTACTTACTGTATATGGGATTTACATTTACTTTTGTGTTTTTTTCGTGTATGACAAAGAAGAAAAATTCATCATTCATAAAAACATTCAGGAGTATTTCACTAGGCATAACTCGAACCTCATTCTTCCTAAATATAGACTAAGAAATACAGAAAGAGGTTCACGCTATGTGGCCATCAAATTATACAATAATTTACCACTGACCATCAGCGGTAATTGTTATACCATTATCAAAATATGTGATTACCTGAATAAATTTATCTATCTATCTATAGACATGATATATACAATAGTATGTGTCATTGTATGTAAGTATTTATATCTGTTTGACAAATGAGTTTATATATGTCCTAAACATTTCTTTTCTTCAAATGCTCAGTTATACAAACATGTACTACAAGGAATTAATAAACCTGTGATACTCTTATTATATTTTACATTTATAACTCTTACTTTCTTAAATTTTCATAAGTTTAATTCGAAAACTTTCTATAGAGAACTGATTAGAGTGATATATGAGGCTTTTTTCTGTAAAGTTTAAAAGATATATGTTGTCACAATAATTTTTTACAGTGGATTGTGACGAAGTGAAAAAATCAAAAGTACAGCCGCCTGAAAATGAATCTTACAAACTATTGGAAATATACAAAGATTATAAAATAAAATTCGGGAACTAGTTTTTGTCATTCCAGCTATTGAAAGTGTCATGTGATTATTCCACATCAACAAACTAATAGACATGATATATTGAAAACTGATTGATTTATGGGGTTTGATTTGAATTATATTATTACTAGATATAATGATTTTGTGTTTCTTGACAATATGTAGGAACGTTTCTTCTCACATTATTCATCGAGGGTCTTAATGGTTTCCACAATTTAAAATCAGTCATTTCATCATTTAACCTTTGAAGTAATTTAACATCTTCCATTGTGTTTTAACATGGTGATACCATTGTCCTTAATAGCTGTACACTAGATATTCCCTAACCATCAATAAGTATTTGGAGGAGTTTCCTGGTTTAGTACATTTTTTATATATCGACAGAAATACCCATAGAATAACCACTCCAACTCTGGATTTCACCACTCAAGAAGGATTATTCAATAAAAAAAAGGTAATTAATTTAGAAATAATATTGAAATTCCTATACATTTAAAAAAATTACTAAAGATGTGTGTATATGCCTGTATTACTATGTGTTAGCTTGCCAAATGTGCAGATTGAAACCCACTGTATCCAATCCTACTATAGAGTCTATATAGACTCTATAGTAGGTATGAATGAATGTATGTATGAGGATGAATGGATGCAGATGCATCCATTATCATCCTCATCCATCCTCATTATCAAAAAAAAAGAACTGAATTCCTTTCACCATATTTTGTATTCAAATAATATAGGAACTCTATTGAAATTTATGATTCTCAATAATATCTAGAGACAGACAGTTGAAAACGAATATAATGACGTTTGGGAATACATTTTCAGTACCAACGAAAAGATTTCAAATTAAAATTTCAAATTAGTATTAACCGTTGGGGTTATATGTTAAGAAACAGTATCATCTTGACTTATTATTGACCACACTATAATTTTTTTCATAAAATTTAGTCTCTTAAACAGTTCTCACAGACAGTTCTCTTTGATTTTCGAAATTATTTCCATAGGTGTTATAGATATGATTCTGATTTATTGTTTTTTCATATGTATTCAATAATGCCTAGGTTATTAAAGATTTCTTTGTTAAGTATGAGTTTGTGATGATTTCCTAATTAATGGGCTTTGTCATAATTTTTAAGTGAAAATTGTTTTTTTATTTTCTAATTAAATTTGGAATATCTTAGTTTCAAGATGAGATTTAGTTTTTAGTATATTTTTGGTTCATTTCAATTTTGAAAGTCAATTTTATAAATATTCTTTTAGATTGTCTTAATTTCAATTTTATTGTCTCTAGAGATATCAGTAACTATCAGTTCGATGATGTTTCTTTAATCAACCTATTAAAAATTAGATATAGATATATTAAAAATTAGGTATACGAGAATGTATTGGTTCCGTGGATAAACAAAATATTGCATCGCTTCACCAACAAAAACTTATTAGAAGTCATCTAGAAGTCCAATGAAATTTGAAAAAAAAATTGACTGAAATTATTGAAATAAAAAAATTGGAGTACTGAGCCATCATCAAGGCTTACAAAGATATCTGATCCGAATGCAGATCAGCTAGTAAACAAATGAAAACATTCTTAATAACTTCAAAGACGGTTTGGCAAGCATCTATTATTTCATGGCATTCTCACTTATTGGCCTCAATATTATGTCATGGGGTCGAGCCAGTGAATTTTCAACAGTTTTTATGTCCCAAAAGCATTACTAACATTGATTTTTAAATTGAATTTTCGAAACAGTTATCGACCTATTTTCGAAGAAAGTATGCTAAGTATATACATTTTTCGATGTATCATTTTTGCTAGACAGAACACAGCAGATTATCAATGTAATGCTTCGGAACTCGCACGCAATACCAGACATAGAAACTTACTATTGAGAATTCCTAAACATCGAATAACATTCTGTGACATTTGGCAGATCAAGATCTTCAGACGATGTGGTGCTGCAGGTTTTTCCGGGTTTTCCTGCAGCTGAAAAAGCAAATGCGCCATTGGAATCAATGAAGTCGCCCCGGAGCGCCAATTAATTTTGATTGTTGTTTTTATTTTTAGACTCAAGCTATTTTTTTTGAAAAATTCTGTAAACAGGGCCGTCGCCATGGGGGGAGCCTCCCCCCTGCTTTTTCTATTTGGGAAAAAGTTGGGAAATTTTGGGCCGTGAAGATAAAAAAAACAATAGTAAAAAATGAATAAAAATTAAAAAAACAAAAATGAGAGAAAAGAAAGGGAGAGGTACTAAGAAAAGGGAAAAAACTAGGATAAGGTTGAGATTTCCCAACATGCATAACTTGGTGATCCCATACTTTGAAATTATGAGTTTTTTGAAAACTTCAAAAAAGTTTAATTTCTCCCAAGTAAGAGAATAGTCCTGAACAGTCCACAAATTTTGAAGTGACAATTTTACAAAATTCCCAAATTTTCACTGTTTTTTCGACTTGGAAAAGTTGGGAAATTTCGGGCCGTGAAGATAGAATAAAAAATAGAAGAAAACAATAAACACAATATTATTTAAGTGTTGTTTCCTTTCGTTTGTATTGAATATTCCTATACATTGTGGATATGGTGGAAGACCAAGGACCTTGGTCAAAAGTAGAATAATTCCCATTATTATTATTATAATTACCAAAATTTATTTTTGCTTGTGCTTACCCTAACGGGCATAAGCATTCAGCCAATCTTTGGCTGAATGCTTCAGCCAATCTTTGGCTGAATGCTTATGCTCCCCCCCTGGTTTTTCTTTTCGCTACGGCCCTGTCTGTAAACTATATATTATAAATTACCAGAACCATTTAAACAGTTTATACCATACTTCATAATAAAGTTGAAGCCTTGTTATTAGATAAATCCAAGAAATTTTGTGACATTTAAAAATAAAACATGAAATTGTACTTCTACGAAGAAATGTTTTTGTAAAAGATTTGTATGTGTTTCAGTAAGTTTGCATAAGCGTATATAAGTATTTATGCACATTTTAGTTTATTTTAAGTGACATACTATATAGACATTGATATATTTTAATTTATTGTTACTACTTCTTACTCTTTCGTGATTTCCCATATATCGTCTTTGTATCGTCAATGGTCAATAAATACTATTATTTTTCCCGTAGATCGCGGTGGTTGGGAGGGTGAGTTATCATTAGGTCTGAGAATCATGTGCCCTAAGCAGACGCAGCTGAGAATGATAGCCTTCTGCATATGCCCGGCCAATATTTTTGCCGGACAAGCCAGCATGATCTTGAGATTCCACCAAGGACTCCGATAATCAGAACAGCCATCTCAACAGAGTGGTCTGAATAGAAGAAACCCGTTTTTCCTTCTCTTTTTGGATGATATTCGTCTCACCGGGAGCTGAAAACTCCACGACGAATATCGTCTAGCTCTCATGGTCGAAAAGAACTACTTTAGGTTCATTAGCTTGTATTAGAGGGTGGGAAAGGAATAATTTCAATAATTTTTTCTCATTCCTACAACAGATTCGATATACTTTGAAGCGTAGGGTAACATCAGTGCACCCTACGTTACCGTAAAAGTGCCGTAGAGAGTAATAAAACACTCTTAGGCCGCATTATGTCGATGGATATAGGGTTTCAGGCGCCTTGCGGAAGGCGCTGCACCTTGTGTCAGTCGTTACACCTTGTGTCAGGAACCTCTATACCCATCATGCGACTGCGATGTTACAAAGCCACCATACTGGCAGGCCATGAGGAACCCCTCAATTTCCGACTTCACTCCACTTGACCCAAGGAAAGAAAGGACAGGTGCTTTGGTAAGCCGAGGACTTCAATGTTGGTAAAGGAGACCCAATGCATTGGCTTATCCTTGTGTTTCCGCAGGAGTTGAGTGATCTCTGCGAATTTTATGTGGGCCTTCTGCTAAACGGGTTCCAACTCGGTGACAGAGTTATGATCACCTCGTAATTATTAACTTCATTATTATTAATATACTTGATACACTTAGAGGTCAATGTCCTCCATAGGCGACCATGAAAAATTAGATGGCAAGCTTCAAAATAAGTAAATTTTTCATTGAAAATGAAGACCAATCAAGTAGGTTAGTTTCTGTCTCAAACTTCATAAAAATCGATGCAGTTCATAATATGAATGAAGCGTCGAATTGGGCTGGAACGAATATGTGGAAGTCATGATAAAAATTTCTGCAAAATGAATCTCAAAATGTTGGAATGTTGGCTAGAAACTTGTAAAGGTAGAAGCATTGCGTTCATTCCGTGCTTGGTTCGAAACAGGTGCAAACTTCTTAAGCTATGTTGCGACAATGGTGCATTTCTACTACCCAGAAACAAAGCAGCAATAGATGGAATGAATACAGTCTGATTTTCCAAAATCAAAACAATTTCTTGTTAAAAAATCTTCCACAAAAATTCTTGCTTTTGTTTTTACGAAAAAATATGTAGGGGATACATGGAAATTAGTCCAAAGTTGTTTTTGCAAGACAAAACCCCTGCACACAAATCACATAACAAAGTTTTCAAAGTACTTGGAAATATGAATACCGTAAGTTCAAAAAGATTGGATAGTAATAAGTCTGACCTTTTGATCATACTAATTCCCCCTAACTGTTTAAAGATGGTTTAGTCTGTTATCTGGCAACCAGTCGAATGGAAAAAGAACATGCAAAATGTGTGTTTGAACAACTGGTCGAACAACATCTCTTAGCGCTTCTAAAAAATCTTATTGAAGATATATCCTGTTTGAACTTCTGCGTCAAAAAAAAGACTTTGGTGTTCATATATAGTAACTGAGTATTTTACCTCCCATTTTTTTTATTATATTTCTTTTTAAGTTTGTTATAAAAGTATAATACAACTATATCAATTGTGTATGAAAACAAAATTTCACTTCTCCGAATGTCCAGAATCATTAATTCTAGTTAAACTTGTGTATGACATTTATGAATTAAAAAATGTTCTCTGAAGAGATAATTGTTTGGAAAATTTCCTTTTTGTCTTTCTTTTTTTAGTGCACAAAGATTTAGAGACCAAATTGGAAAGTAGTTGCCTCAGCTTAACTCATCTATTCTCTTTTGTATTTAAATGAATAATGAGTGATTTACTGATAATGTTTTTTTTTCAAAATTTTTTCATCAGTTATCTACATAACTCATTAACGTTTGAATAACACTTTTTAACCACATCAAGAGTAGATAAATAAGAAGAGTAGAGAACTACTTAAAGCATTCTAACCCATTTTTATAGATTACTTCCAAATGTTTTAGATATGGTTTATGATTGATTTTGCAAGAAAATACCTCCAGAAAGGATGCATGCAGTTGATGTGGAAGGACACAACTTTTCACTATGCATATTTCATATGGTTTGAAGACAACAGCGGAGCACCATTGAAACCATCAATATTTCCTAATCAAATATTATCTTTACCAGGAATTTTGTGTGAAGACTTTTATCAGTGAGTTTACCATAATGCATATTGTGTCCCATTCATCTTTGATTTTTCCACAGAAAATTGAAAGGTATTTGTTTTCCCAAAATGCAGATATCTAAAATACGATGTTACGAGCTGTTTTGTCTCCATTTAGGATTAGTAACAGCATCTTGTGTCCTTGAGCAAAATAGGAGGCTAGCCGCAACTATATCCGAGTTGAGAGGACATCCTTCCCAAGCAACAGATTTTTTATAAATGAGAAGAAAAAAACATCCTATTTAGTGTATGTGCCAATTATTGTGAATTATTTATATTGCTGTGATATTTTTTTGTT